GAGTCCATACCGTGATACACGCGTCACACCGAGCCATTTTATCTTTTGTGCTGATAGTCAAGATCGCAGCTCTAACATTGACATCAAACTCTGTCTGAGCAGATGACTAAGAGTGCCGCACAACGTAAACTTTTGACCCTCAACTTTTTGACCTGCAGTTGTAACACACTAACCACAAAGATACACAAAGCTGTGCCTCTTCTTTCAGGGGGAAGGGGCCCCCTAGGATCTCAGGGATGCCCTGTTTCGCCTATTGCCTTTTGCAAAAAGAGGGTGAAAGGAATTTTTTTTTTTTTTTTGAGTTTGTAACTGTATTTCCTGTCAAATCAGTCTCCCATCTCTTTTTGCCAGAGCTTAGATAGGAACTGGGTTACCTTGTGATTGCACTGACAAGGAAAATTTGGAGTGGGATGGGGGAACCTTGCAAAAAGGGAAAGGAAAGGGAAGGTGGGAAGAAAGCAGGCAATGGGAGTTGAAGACATTTTTCCTTTATTTAAAAATAAAGACGCAGCCCTAATTGTTCGGGGAGCTGGCCCAGGCGGTTGAGTTGACTGTGAACTTGTACTAAAGCGTGCTCTGCTGGCGATTCCTAGGGTGTGCAGATTTATCTTCTCTGCATTTACTTAACCCGGCAGTGAACTGCGCGGGAGTCATTTGTTAGGTGATGACAGACTTCACCTCAAGCAAAGGCTGCTTCACAAAATTGTAATAATTACCCAATAGCCTTCACAACAAATATTATTATTGAAAAGACTGGTTTGTGGGGAGGGGACCTGGTGTGAGGACAGATTTCTTTGTGAGAAACACCAAACAAAACAAACCTGGGCGGATCCTCCAGTTCTGGGGCTTAGAATGGCGAGGACTATGGGTCCCCTCTTCTATGTGGGTGGGAGCCTAGACTGACCCCCACAGCCCTGCCTGGGAGCCCCATTTAAACTTTTGTCATTAGCTAGAGGGAAATTCCCTGAGAACCCAAAGGGACAGAAACACGAAGCTCTGCACTCTCCATGGTGGGCAAGCCACGGACAGATCTGTGGAGCCAAAGCAGGGGGAGAGGCTGAGAAGGGCATCTTTTAAGCTAAAAAAAAAAAAAATGTTTTCCTTCTTAATAGCTTGTCTTTCAACATGTGATTTGCTCTCTCCTTACTAACTGTTTGGATATAGAATCTTCCCATCTCCACAAATGAATATGACTCCATTTCTAGCAGGAAATTCTGTCTTGCTCTCCCAGAGTTGCCAACAATGAAGCAGTGGAAAGAGCAGGAGAAAAGGAATCTTGGCATAATGTTGTGAAATTAGACCATGGAAACCCTAACAAATCCCTAAGTAAGTGTGACCAGAAGCTTCCTATTATATTTATAGTTCAGGAAATATTGTCTCTTCAGCTCATGGAAACAACCAGGGCCTTCCACATCTCGGACGCCTTCTCCTTTTATAAGACAAGGAGCACAGACACACTGCCACTGGCTGAGGCTGGATGTCTTCATAAAGCCCTCAGTGACAGAGATTTTTTTTTTCCTAAGTAAGTTCCCCTCAGCAAAAACAACCCAAAAGAATGCATGAGAAGAAATGACTTATCTACAAAAAGAACAGCTAACCAGCCATCCTCTTTAGTATGCTTTCTATGAAAATAGGAAGAAAGGGGGGAAAATCCTCCAGCCACATTCACAGGAGTCTGACTGGATGCCGAATTTCTAAAAAGTCATTTAACTCCATGTGGGTCGGCCTGCTCTCTTAAACTCCACTTAAGTTTTGCAAAGATTAAAACACACAAAAATAAGCAAGCTGACAATATTTGTAACCTGGAATTTTTTCAATTCATGAGAACGATTCTCGATGTTGTATGATGTCGGATATGAGTCTAAGCAGCCTTTCTGCCTATTCCCACACCCCAGGGTGGGATGTGGCCACAGAGGTAGTGTGGACGCCTTCTCTATGCAAGTTATTCAAACAAACCTTCCACTATCCCCTCTTTTCTCTGCTTCTGATATTAGTTGCCAAGAAATCACTCAAACAAGATCACCAAACGAGTAACTAAAATAGGACCTTGAGCCAAGATTTTCCAATAAAGAACCCAAAACTCAGAGCAGCAAAACAAAGAATCCAGAATTCTCACAGATACATATAATAATAAAAGAGAACCCACACTCAAATAGAGTTTTTATTCTGGTGTCCACTAAGATGTGGCTACATCTTCCCAAATGCTGAAATTTTAATGGTCACTCTAATAGGTTACACAAAACGATCCGCCTTGCCACTATTCATGATAAGTGGAAGTTGTGAGAGGGTTCAGTTTTTTTAAAAAGCTCCCCGCCCCCCCAGTTTTTGTTTTGTGGACCTCTGACTTTAGGGACATCTGTTGGACCTATGTTGAGTGTAGGGGGCCTCCTCACAGTAAAGTATCAAATCTATACTTTTAACAATTTCACTTTCAGCAGTTAGTAAATACCGTCGCCAGTGTGCACTTGCAGAAAACTACACAGCTCCTACAGTGAAAGCATATGGAGACGGGAGATGTCGTTTTTTGTTTGATTTCTGAGTCCAGCTGGAGAACTTGGCTTAATTCCTCAAAAGGATGGGGAGAAATCTGCTAACTCTCTTGTGGGTGCCCATCTAGAGAAAGACCCCAGGACAGGCCACAGTATCTCCAGTCACTGAGATTTGCCACTAAAGAATGTGGAGGAAGGGGTGGCTGGGGCCAAGCTGGAATTGTACCCAGGAAAATTTATTTCACCTTACTTCACCCGTTCGTGCAATTTTGGGGACTGTTTTGGAAATCACAGATCATGTAAATTTCGTGGGATCAAACAGAAAGAGGGGCTTACAAAAGAAAGGCGGAAATCTCCTACTGACAAAACGACCCATTTCTTCCCTAAACTACCCTTTATGACGTGTCAGGAAAAACAACCTAATAGCTCTGGGGACTTTTAAGTTGGGCATTGAAGGCACCTCGATTTCCCCTCAAACTTTAGGGCGCAGTTGGGAAGAGAGAATTAGTTTATACATTGAGGAAGAGTAAATTTCTCTAATCTTTAATGTTACTAGGAGGACTCCTAAGTTGCCTTTTGAGGGTTCTGTGTGCAGAAGTTTAAATTCTACAAAGGAGGAGAGAAAAAGGAAAGGAGAGAGAGAAGAAAAGCCAGGCGGAAGAAAAGAAAGCACGTTAACCCCTTTCACTCAGCCTGGGGATTCAAAGACTAAAGTTAAATCCGGCCATAAAGTTTATTGCTTCAGATTCACAGGCGGGTGAGAACAGTCCCAGCGAAAGAAAAGGAACGTGCAGGTCCCGGGTGCGGGGAAGGAGGTGCTGAGCCCCCCTCCCCAGGTGGGGAGCCGCGGTCCCCCGCCTCCTGCCGGCGCTCGCAGCCTAGGCTCGGCCTCGCAACCCAGGGGCGCAACCTGCGCCTGGCTGGCCTCTGCCACCAGCCAGCGCTTTCGAGCCAGTCTGAAACTCGGCGCCGAAGGCCGCCGCCTCAGTTTAGTCCTGCCAAATGACCCTGGCCCGCGAAGACCTATCGCCACAGCCCCGTAAGGAATCCCGCCAGAGTCCGCCTCAGTTCTGCCCGGGCCTTTCTTTCAAACTCCTAAGCGCAGTGCGGCCCTCGTCGCCCGCAGCCGGCGCCCCACTGGCTCCCAGCCCCCACCCCAGGGCTTCACGACCCACAAAGAGCCGAGACTTGGCCAGATCCCCATGGTGGGGGCGGCGGCCCTGCCAAGTCTCCCCACACAGCCTATTCACACACAAAAATCATCTTTTTGCACGCCGGCGAGAGCAGCGGAAGTCATTAACATCCGCGGTTATGCAGCAATTAAAGTTAGGCCTGGGGATGCGGCGCGGCCACAAGCGCTTTGCAAGGCGGTGCCTCCGCCAAGCGGCTCCTGGCACTGCTGATTTCGGCAGAGGAAAAGTTTGCTCTTCCCCTTTTGAATAGAGAGGCAGCCTCAGAGTTAGCGAACCAGAAGGCGTAAGAGAAAGGGAAAGCGAGAAAGAAAGTTTTCAGGGTACAAATAAACTTGAAAGCGCTCAGAAGGCGAGCTTACCTTAACTCGAAGGGACGCATTTTTCAGAGTTTTGAGAACTTGTGGTTTGGACACTTCTGGACCTAAAATTGACAATTTGAATGACCAGGCGGCACACGTAGCCTGCAAAAGAGTCAAATGGAGTCCAGCGTCAGTGAGATTATATGTTATGTGGTATATAATGTTGGATGTCAACTCCCCAAAACCATAAAACTTACTTTAATGGCCCCACGTGACATTTTATAGCCAGTGAGCCGATCTGTCTGTGCTATGGATGATTTTACGATCTAATTCATAGACAAAACCCTATTCATTTGGCACCCAAATGTCATATAGCCGGAACTGGGGCTTATAAAGTTTACTGTTTTATAACTTTTAAAAGGAAAGACGGCATCAGTGTAAGCAGTCCGTAAATGTGCAGATCTCTAGTTGCACTTTAGCTGCTCTGAGGAGTTCCCCAATCGAGCTAGGATGGGGTAAGTAACCTTCCACTTGTAGTAAATTAATTGTAGTAAAAGAAGCCAACTGGGTTCAGGGCGAGGCGTGGGGAAGGGGCGCTGGGGTGGGTTAGGGGTACAGAGTTTGGGGGCCACTGCCTGGCATAGCAGCCTCTGCAGCAAGTGGAGGCCCAGGACGGCCTTAGGAGAGAGGCAGGACCTGTGTGGGCCCTGAGGGCCGCTAACAAAGCCCTGGTTTCTTTCTCCTTTCTCTTCTTGTTTTTGTACCCAGAAAGTTAACTTTGTTTCCTCAGAGATGGGCATGGTGGACTCAGGCTTTGGACTTGCCTGCAGCATTTTCCACCTTCTGCCCTGAACTTTCTGATGGGTCAGAGGGAGGAGGCGGCAGGTCAGGGTGTTGGGCTGAGGCCTCCTTGCACAGGCAGGCTGCTCAGGTAGCCTCACTCTCCGGCTTCCAGGACTGGACAGAGAGACAGGAAAGCAGAAAGAGCCGCTCACTAGTTGGCACAAACCAGACCAAGAGAACTTACAATAGAAAGTTTATTTTTTGTTTCCAGTCAGTATTTTTTCCTTAAAAACAAATACAAAAAAAAAAAAGCTGATCACAGTTTGCTTAAACAGCCAGACTTGGACAATATTTGTAACTTTGTTCACAAAAACATACATCACTGAAGCTGCGCTTATAAGAGCCACTTCCAGAGTTCGTGCAAAGGGTCCTACAAAGGCACGCAGGGACACACCGCTCGGAGTCACAGTTTTCGTCACAGAGTCACTAGTCACTACACCTCAAACAAGTTAAGTTGAGTCTCATCAAGTCACCTCTACAACAGCATTAATTACACAGGGAATAAAGGTAGTTTGAATAAAAATATCTTTAACAGCTTGGAGCTATTGAGACGGGAACACTTCCACGCACATGCACAGTTAAACAACTCGAGTGCAACACACAACATTGGCACTAAACGAGGTCGAAGGGGGACTTTTGTGTGTGTGTGTGTGTGTTTTTCTCTTTTCTTTTTTGTTACAGTTACTTCAAGTAACAGCTTGCTTCATATAAATAAGTTAAAACATCTATTTTTTTTTCAAGACAAAGCCATCAGGACAAAGAGATGAACAGAAAGCAGATCTACTTATACAGGCGCTATAATGGCAATAAACAGGCTCATGATTAAAAGATGAATTAGGGCAACGAGAACAGGGCTTCTTCACAGAAGGAACACAGGGAGTTTGAGAAAGTCACCTTAGTACTGACACTACGCGGGATCCGCTAATACTGCTCAGTACTTTAAACGCTCAGATACTCAGGGGCGGAAGGCCCCTCCCGCCGCCGCCATGCTCATGCTTTTCAGCTTATTATCTTTTTTCCACTTCATTCTCCGGTTTTGGAACCAGATTTTAATTTGTCTCTCGGAGAGGCAAAGAGCATGTGCTATTTCAATCCTTCTTCGGCGGGTCAGGTAGCGGTTGAAGTGGAACTCCTTCTCCAGCTCCAGGGTCTGGTAGCGCGTGTAGGCCGTCCGGGCCCTTTTGCCTTCCGGGCCGCCTATGTTGTCTGCAACAGAAAAGTCAGCGATTTAGCCACCAACTCCTCAGCCTCTGGCTTCTGAAGTCCGCCAGATGGACGAGCCAGGGTCCTGAGCAGTGAACGGGGGCGAAAAGCTCAACAAGTCCTCCCTCCACGCCCGCGCACCCCTCCCGAATTTCCTTCCCTCTTCCTTTCTAAAGACAAAACAATACGATTTGGACTCTGGGAACAACTGGCCCCTTGGAGCCACGTCCCAGTGGACTGCCTGGCTTGCCCTCGCCCCTCTCCTGCTCTCTGGCCCTGCCCCGGGCGCCCCGAGTCGGGGCACAGCCCTCCCAGGCTGCCCACCGCTCAGAAAGCCAAGAAGCACGGCCCTTTCCTAAGCGCCCAAGTGGCCTCCAGATCACCCTTCCTTAAAGTTCCAGCCCCGCCAGCCGCCTCCTGCTCCAGCCTGCACGCTTGGGGCGCCTGTTTTCTTTTTCTTCCCTTCTCTCTCCCTTCTGCCCCCAAACTTCAGAATCCGCCGGCTCTCGCCTCGATTATTCCCCCCAAGCTCCTTCTCGGGGGCTCTAATTAGTAACGCTGTTTCCCTAGCGTAGCCCTCCTCATAAATTATCCGCCCTGACAAGCCCGATTCACGGCCCCTACTGCCATCCTCTACCTCTCTGCACCCTCTCGACTGGGCTGACCGAGGAGCGCTTTCCGAAGCGCTGGGGTTCGAGATAGGGTTTTCTCCTTTCCCCCTTCAACGTCTTTAACCTTGCCCGGTCAGCGGCCGCTTGCCTCCCCCCTCATCTGCGAGCGCGGGGCGCTGCAGAGAAGAGAAGGAGGAAGGCAGGGGAGGGAGAACAGTGGGGCTGGGAGAGACAAGACCAGGCGAGAGGCAGGGAGAGAGGAAGGCAGCAAACAAGAAAGAGAGGACCGAGAGCCGCGCCCCCGCGGCCGCGTGGATTTAGAAAAAGGCTGGCTTTACCATGACTTATGTGCAGCTTGCGCATCCAGGGGTAGATCTGGGGTTGGGCAGGCGGTGCCGGGCTCGGTTCGCTCTGCGCGCTCGCCTGCTCGCTGCTGGCGGGGGTGTCCTCCTCGGCTCCGGACGCCGTGCCAACCCCCTCTCTGCTGCTGATGTGGGTGCTGCCGGCGTTGGCCGAGGCGCCGCTGGAGTTGCCCAGGGAGTTTTTCCCGCCGTGATGGCTGTCGCTGCCGGGCGAGGGGGCCACGGCGGAACAGGGCAGCGGGTCGGGCGGAGGCGAGTGCGTGGACGTGGCCGGCTGGCTGTACCTGGGCTCGGCTGGCGCCGTGCTGGCGCCGGCCGCATAGCTGCGGGCGCGCTCCCCGGAGCCAAAGTGGCCGGAGCCCGAGCGGCCGACGCTGAGATCCATGCCATTGTAGCCGTAGCCGTACCTGCCGGAGTGCATGCTCGCCGAGTCCCTGAATTGCTCGCTCACGGAACTATGATCTCCATAATTATGCAACTGGTAGTCCGGGCCATTTGGATAGCGACCGCAAAATGAGTTTACAAAATAAGAGCTCATTTGTTTTTTGATATGTGTGCTTGATTTGTGGCTCGCGGTCGTTTGTGCGTCTATAGCACCCTTGCACAATTTATGATGAATTATGGAAATGACTGGGACATGTACTTGGTTCTCTCCTACGTAGGCACCCAAATATGGGGTACGACTTCGAATCACGTGCTTTTGTTGTCCAGTCGTAAATCCTGCCTGATGACCTCTAGAGGTAAACTCGTGCACTAATGGGGGAGTTGGGTGGAGGCGAGAGGGGTGGCGCGCGCGCTCAGGGCTCGTGCCCGTCGTCCGCCGCCGCCGTTCAGTCGGACTCGAGCGCCACCCGCTGGAGGCAAGGCGCATCGTCCCGCTTCCGACCCCCGGCTGCAAGGGCCGGGGTCGAATTGAGGTTACAGCCCATTATGGCAAAATTATTGCATTTCCCTCGCAGTTTCATTAGGATGTACCAATTGTGAGGCCGTCAGCTGCAGATCGTGCGCCCGGCGAGGATGCAGAGGATTGGGGGGAGACGGTGACTTGAATTTTGTTATTTACAACAACTTTATTTCCCCCGCTTTGCAGCCCCTCTGATCTTGTGTCGAGGTTGGGCTCGGTTCTGCCCGTCCTGCCGGCAGCTCTGGATTTTGAAAATACAGATATCACCTTTGGGGAAGGAGGGGGCGGCATTTAGCCAATTGGAGAAATAAATCCTGCCCGCAGCAGCAGCAGCAGCAGGAGCAGCTACAATTACGGCTCTGTTTTTGCGAGCGCATGAGGGACAGTGTCCCTGCCGCTCTTAAATGACAGGCATGTATTAAAGATAGCTTTTGTGTAGTGTTTTTCCGAGACGAGGTCAAATTCCATACACTTTTATGACCGGAGTCGAGATTTTTCTGTAGTGAAAATATGGTTTTCGTGTCATTAGCTTGCTATTTGAATTGCTTAAGTATCCAGCCGGGAGAATCTTCACCACCGGGTCCCCTTCCTCGAGCCAGCCGGGCCCCAAGTCGGAGGGTTCTCGGTGAACCCAGCTAGTGGGCCTAGGCTCCCCGCAGCCACAGAGGCTACTTGGAAGCTGGGGATCCTTGGGCCGAGTTACTGGGGTCTTGCTTAGACCTCCAAGAGTAAAAGGAGGGCGCTAATAGAAGCATGTCGTTGCAGTGCCTGGCAGCTCCATGGTTATTTCCCGGGCTCCGGAAGACGAAAGTAAATCACCCATATAGCCGACAGGCAAGGGGGACCTCCCCGCTGGAAATCGGGCGTCGCAGGCGCACTGGCACGCTTGGAAGCCAGGTCTCTAGCCGCTCCCATGGCCTGGGACCCCCTTGCTAGGTCTTAAAGCTGCTGTGGTGGCGGCGCCGGCGCTGTGTCTGAGGCGGGGAGCGAGAACCGAGAGCTGGGAGCCTGCGGGAGCCGGGTCGCTCCCCGGGCTTTAAAGTTCCACCCGGGCCCAGGTGGGCTCGACTCGGCTGAGGCTGCTTCTCTTCCACTGGCAGTTGCACACGGGGCCAACAGGCTCAGGTCTCTCGGGGCCCTCTTTGTTCCTTGCGCTCCTTTCTGTCTGGAGGCGGCCTGGGAAGCCATGGCAGGGCTAGGGCCCCGGTTCCTAGGCCCCCCCTTTCCAGTGGCCAGAGTCGATTTGGTGGTGTCCTCCGGGGCTTGGTGGCAAGAGAACAGGCGGAGACACCCAGACCCCAAATGGGGCTCGGCCGGAGGCTCTTTCCTCCCCAGAAACCCCAAGACCGACAGCGACCTCGCGCTCCGAGCTCGGGGAGCGCAGAGACGCTCGCTGGAGAGCCAAGGACGAATTCGAGGCACGCCCTGGGGCCCCGGAGCCGGTTTGGGCAGCCTTGGGGAGCTGGACTGTGTGTGTGCAGTGCGCCCCGCTCCACCACTCGCACTGGGTGTTTGAGGGGTTTGTTTTTTGGTAAGAAATGCTCAGACGCTTGCAAAACTCCAGGCTCCCCTGAAGCTGCAGCCCCTAGATGGGAGCCGGCGGGGAGAAAAGTTGGGGACCAGACAAGGGCAAGGGGGCAATGCCGAGGGAGGTTGCGGCACTGGCCTGGTCTTTGCCCAGGCGTCTACTCGCCCGCCTTTGCCTCTGCGTCCTCCCCGCTGGGCTGCGTGGAATTGATGAGTTTATTCTCCTTTTTCCACTTCATGCGGCGGTTTTGGAACCAGATCTTGATCTGGCGCTCGGTGAGGCAGAGCGCGTTGGCGATCTCGATGCGGCGGCGCCGCGTCAGGTAGCGATTGAAGTGGAACTCCTTCTCCAGCTCCAGCGTCTGGTAGCGCGTGTAGGTCTGGCGGCCTCGGCGTCCGTGGCTCCCGTACACAGCACCTGCGGGCAGAAATGACCAGGCGCCGGTAAGCGAGGGTCGCAGCGCCCAACCAGCCCTGAGCCCCGTGCCCTGCTCCTCGGGCCTCTGTGCTGGAAGCTACCCGGTCTCCACTCAAGCCTCTTCCACAATATTGGCCAAAAAGCAGACTGGATAGGAGAAGATTGTTTCATACCAAGCGAGATTTTTTCCACCCTAAACGACTTAAGATGGGAAGTTGATGCTTTTGAAAAATCTGTCTCCTCGGAAAACCACGAGAAGCAAAATAACAGAATAAGTGCTCTCGATCCAGGGCGCCCGGGTGGGGTTTCTGTGGGCGTGTAGTGTATGCCTGGGAGTGGATGAGTGTGCAACTCTGCAAGCAGTGTAGACACTCCGAATTCATCCACCCATCTCTGTGAGCATATTTTCAAGGCCAGCCTTGTCAGACTCAGCATGCTCCTTTGAAAGGTAAAAATGGTCAGCCTTGTCAAATCCTTTTAATGTCCCCCAAAAGTATATGGCTCTTCTGAGTAACACTGAGCTCCCTTGAAAAAAGAAGTGGATTTTAAAACAAAACATAACTAAGGTTTTAAATCCACGTTAAAACTCTATTCTGCTCCAAGGGAAAAGGAGCTTTCCTGTGGAGTTTTTGGAAACCCAGAGGCGAAGAGATGGAGCTAAGAACGGGCAAGGGTTTCCAGAAATGTAGGACTGCGTTGCGTTGTCTGTTCCGGTGCCAAAGGGGCCCCTGGGTGGGGGACTTCTCCCAGGTCAGGAGTGTGAGGATGTGTGAGGCTCAGACAAGGGCTCAGAAGGAGGCTGAAGTTCGCCAAGTGTGAACAGTTGAGTGGAAGAGGGAGGGGGAGAAGGAGGAGACAGAGGGGGAAAAAAAAATTCCTGAGCCTGGGCATGTGGCCCTCCAAGGCTTTGGGGACACTGAAAAGGCTAGATGGGAGCCTCTATCTACTGGGGTTTCTGAAGGGCAGAAAGGAGAGGGGGTTGGGAAGTAAAGTGAAGATATCAGTGATGCGGTGCAGAAGGTCCTCTCAGCTTGGGAACCTGAGCAGGGTGCTACCAGGGTGTAGCTTGGGCAGGCTTTCCCTCCCATCCAGTCTCCTTTTTTCTTGTCCCCTCTCTCTTCAGGTTGCCCCTGTAATGGGTCTCACATAAAGTGGCAGTGACCCCCCCACCCTCCCCTAAGGTGTCACATTACATGGACACTAGCCCCCTGCCTTTGCTTTACCGCGGCCTGATTGCCCCATTGAGAATTTTTTTTTGTTTTTTATTTCTTTAAAAAGCCACGGAAACTTTGTTCAACCCTTTTTTTCTTTCCATTTCACTGTCTACTTTCTCGGCCCCCTTCGCCTTCCTTCCTTCTTTTCCTGATCCCTTTCCCCTCTCCCTTCACTCTCTTGGGGGGGGGCTGCAGGGAAATGCCTTACCCGCGCAGGAGTTCATCCGCTGCATCCAGGGGTACACAGGGCTCGTGTACTTCCGGTCGGTGTCTTCGTCATGGAGGGCTTTGCCCTGCACGCTGCTGCTGTCGGGTTTGTACTGCTGCTCGGGAGAAAAGTGCAGGTAGTCCCCGGGGCCCCTCTGCTTGCCACTGCCCGAGGGCGAGGCGCCACTGAGGTCCTTATCAGAATAGAAACAAGAGGCCCCGTACTCGTAGGACGCCCGGTTGCAGGCCAGGACCGAGTTGGACTGTTGGTAGAAACAAGGTGAGGTGCACGTCTTGTCCGGGAGGCCCGACGCCCCGTACGAGGCCGGGAAGGGCCTCAGCGCGTCATAGCCGGCCGGGTAGAGGGGCAGCTGGCCCAGGAAGGAATCCTGGCCGCTGGGCAGGCTCCCGGGGAAAGTGGGATTCACAAAATAGGAACTCATTTGCGCACCCCTCTGCAGGACTGTGATTTGTTGTGTATTAGTACATCTGGCTATAACTATTAGTAGTCATCGAACTGGTTTGTTTCTGGATGGCCGAACGCCAAAAGCGACAGCAGCAAATCGCACCAGCTGACGCGGCGGCGGCCAATGGGAGCGAGCGCCGGAGCCCACTCCCCGGGGACCGCGGCGACCGAGGCAGCAAAGTTACAAACAGCCCCCAGCCCGCCGCCCGTCGCCCGCCGCCCGCCCGGCAGATTAATGGGCGCGCACAGCCTGCCGGCCCGGCTCTCTTCCCGAACGCCAGCGGCGGGCACGGCCCGGGCAGGGGCACGGAGACCAGGCCAGGGTAGGGGCACCGGCACCCGGGCCGCCGCAGAGGCCCTCGCCAGGCCCGCTCTTTCCTTCTCCGTTTTTGCCTTGTTGGATTTTGCCGGGTTTTTCCTCCAAACAGGAAACCTGACAGCCCCGCGCCGGGAGGGGCGGTGACAAGGACGCCTTTGCTCCCTGCGGGCCTTCACTCCCGGTCTGGCCCTGAGTTGCTCCTCCCCCTGCGCACCTCTACTCTTGGGTGCAGGTTCCGGAGTTGGAGAAGGGGCTCTGAGAAACCAGGCCTTTACTCCTCCCTGCTCCTCACTCCTGCGCCTCAGGAACTTGTGCATCCCTCCTTACCCCCTTTTCATCCCCACCAGGGGTCTGGGCCTGGCCCAGATGGAAAGCCCACCCCACGCTGACCGGGGCGCGACGACCAAACGTAAACTCTTGCCGCCAGCCCCCTCATCCACACACATCTTGTTTGGGTTCCTATGGGCTTCCCCCTCCAATGGCCTGGGCCTGCCTGGTCTCCAAGCACCTCTACCATCTGTGCGCCCCCATCCTGCCTTTGAACCCAGAGGACTGAGAGGCCAGAAACCAGTTTTTCAACAGGAAAGGGACCCACAGAAGAGCAGCTGTGAGACCGAGCTCCGCAAAGCCAGCTATGGGACGTGCTCCCCTCACCCAGCGTCCTGGGACTCGCCCTCTGCTGCTAGGACCGCTCACAGCTGAGACAGATCAGAATCCAGATGTGGAATCTCTCTGTCCTCATTTTAGAGGCTCAGGCGATGCGGGGCCCCTGGCCGAGCCAGGGCACAGAGGGCAGCTCTGCAGGGCCCAAGGCAGAGAGATGATTGATGGGCTTGGTATCCCGGGCACCCGACAGCCAGCCCTGTCTTGGGCGCCTCTCCCTCCTGCCCTTCCTGGGATTACTTCTGGGCTTGCCGCCCTCCGTTGCTCCAGGACTGCGAACAGTTGTCTCTCACCAGCTCCAGAAATCCTCTGAACTGTTTTCGCTGCTATCCCAGGCCTGGCCGTCCCCAGACAAGACATGAAAAGCCTGTCCTCCTGCTTGCTCTCCCCTGAGGTGTGCCTTGGAGATAGTTGACTTACAGCACACGGATCAATCTACTTTTGTAAAATGTGATAGCGTTCCAGTGGCATTTTTATGACTGTGTTTGTTGCGCTTGTAAAACGCCTTGAATTAGCTTTAAAATCTTCAATTCTGTGGTGGCTGAGGAGAAACTATTTATAAGATTTGGCTGAATTTCCGGAGAGTGTTTATAAGACTGTAACACCCTGGTGAATGCAGGTTGATGGGGTTCAGGACTTGGGGAGGAGCAATGCCCACTAGGAATCTGGCAGCGACTTCCTTAATCTCTTCCTTGCTTTCTGATTTTTTCCCTACCTTCCTTCTGCCCAGTGGGAAAACATTGGGAAGGGGCTGGCTTAACGCCGGCCTCCATAGAGCCCACACAGGCACCCCTGTAAGTGGCCTGCCTGCTGCCTGCAATAGGGGCTTCACCCCAATCAGTCCAGCCCGGGAAAGTTTCTCCTTTGCACATATAAAGGGAGGGCCTCATAGGAGAGGTTAGAATTCTAAATTTCCCTTGTATTTCTTCATGGAAAGGATCTGATAGATAAAAATGAAAACTCAGGAGTTAGTCAAAAATTAAAAAGGGGATTATTTCTTTAAATCTATGTTTGAAGAAAAGCTTGTTTGAGTTATTGTTTCTTAGACAAGCCCATCTGATTACAGTGATCTCAAGCAAGTTATTATTACTTAAGACGAAAACAATAACCATTTGGAGATGTTGATAAATGTTTCCGTTTATAATTTCTCTTTCATTCCTCCGTATGCTACACAGCGTTGGGGCTGGTGACAGTTTATTACTATTATTATTATTTGTTATGCTTTGACCTGGAGTCTCAATCTAATAATTGTCCTAGCCAACCAGAGAATTCGATTTCTCAGCCAAGAGCCAAAAATATTATATTTCTAGTTTGTATAGGCACGAAGATGGAAAAAAATTAAATCGAAACCCCTACGTTTTAGCCAAGGCTGGTGCATATCACGTTATCATATTGGCAACAGACCAATTTATTTATCCAACCAGCTTTAGGGGCTATTACTGGGAAATATATATATATATATATACACACACACATATGCATGTATATATATGCCAAGATCGACTTAGGCAAGAACAGGAGCCCCAGACACCCACAGGAGCCTCTCCAGGATGGTGAGAATAGCCACCCAGAGCTCTCCTCTGTCAAAGCCACACAGAAAGTCCACTTACCTTTCAGCTGCTCTGGGGGAGGGGGGCAGGATGGCGAGTAGGGATTCACAGCCTGCCCTTTTGCAGGGCTGCCCACTGAGCTCCTCGACTTCCACTGGCTGGGAAGGTGCTCGGGCAGCGGTGTGTGCAGGGCTTCGAAGGCCACCTTGTTGTGATCTCTAGCCCAGACCAGAGCCCGTCGCTCACAGGTGCGGCCTCTGCCCGCGGCAGGCCCTCGCCTGGAGCTAAAGCCCGCCTCCCTTGCCATAGCCAGTCCTCCTCAGGGCCAGCCAAGGCCGCAGGCCTCAGTACCCCAAGTGGCGTCTCCGATTTCAGAATCCCAAAATAGGTGCGTCCCCGAACCAGCGTGCACCCCCGGGGCGCCTTGGGACGCGCAGTTTGGACAGAAGCAGCCATGACGTGACGTGCCAGGCGGCCTGTGCCACCAGTCTCCATGGGGGAGGGGGCACCGAGTCTAGTCCGGCATCCAGCTCCGGTGAGGTGGCCGAGGCGGGAGAGGGTTCCCGGCCAGTCAGGCCCCCGAAGGCCGCCCCACACACCTCCACCTCACCCCTCTCTCCCAGGCCTGCTGGGGAACCTCTGAGGGGCCCGCACAGCAGTCGCGCCAGGCTGCATGACTCCGGGCTACGGCTGGCGTCGGTCCCGGCGACCGCCACAGCGTGGCAGCAGCGAGCGCCCGTCGCGGCCGCAATAAATAATCCGCCCGCGGGAGCCGCAGTCCGCGGCCCTGCGATGCAAATGCGCGGCTTTATCCGGCCTGAGCGCACCCACAGCTCGGGCGAACGTATCAAACATCTACACTCCCTTCTTAATAATCGATTGAATACCAAGATAAAATCTCAAGACGAGAAAACAACAACCAAAAACGAAAAACAAACAAACAAAAAAAGAATTCGAGCCCAGAACATCGGGCTCGTTTCTTCTAGCTGTCTCGGGAGCTCCCGGGACAAATCTGGCACCACGCACACCCAGACCGACCACGGTCCGTGCCCCCCGCGCTACGTAAAGTCAACGCCCACGGCGCCCTTCGCGCCTCCTCCCGGCGGCCCTACAGTCCTCTCCCGGCTCGCGGGGGGTGGGGCGCGCTGTCTCCAGCTCGCCGCGCTGAGGTGGGTGGGTGGAGGTCCCCCTATCGCCCAGACCCGGTTTGCACCCTTCCTTCAACCTCAGCTGCGGGCCCCTGCTACCCGCACTAACCCCACAACCTCTTCTGCACAGAAACTTCCCGCCAAGCAAAATTCAACCAATTAACCCCATCTTCTCCTCCAACACAGAATCCCATCTACGCACCTATTCCCTGTCTCAACGTTTCAGACACCTCTCTCATTAGAAAACGGCGCGAAGGGAAGAAAGCAATCAGCGGAGGTCTCTGGCTGAATTAGTAAGTTCCCCCTCCTCCCCGCCGTTCTACCTTTCTCTCCAGAAACCAACTCTCACGGAATAGAAGCTACTGTGCTGGAGCTAGGAAGACGCCAGTCGATTAGTTCACTTTTCACCCCGCCTCTTTCCACCTTCCCAGGTCGGAAATTGTCTCCTGCTGTTGGAGAATTCAATCGCACCAATTGAGTAGTAAATGAAAAAATAAAAATCCAAACCCAAGAGGCCGGCGGGGGACGGAGGCAACAGGCCACTTCCCTTTGAGCTCTCTGCGGGGTCGCTGGGGAGCGAGGGGAGAAGACCCTAGTGCTGCTGCGCTGTGCCCGGGCGCTGTGCCTCGGAGGGAAGGCGGGCATTTACTCCATAGGGAGCCAGGGAGGGGTGTGTGTGTGTGTGTGTGTGTGTGTGAGTGAGTGATGTGTAGGGACTGTAGTGTCTGTGTGGGGGGCGAATGTGGGTCGGTGAGTGTGGCTCAGGGTGACGCGCCCCTCTCCAAAGCCGCCCTGGGTGCCTTCTCCCACCGCTGCCGCCACAGGATGCATCTCACTACCTTTGCTTCTGTCGCCTTCCCACATGTCTCACCTTCAGATGGCGGCTCCCTGAAGCTCCTGCCCCTCTGACAGCTGTCGCTTGAGCAGCCCGGGAGACGAATCGTCCTCCTTCCTGGTGCCAGAGGACGCAGGAAATTAGCCAGGGTGCGAGTTGCAAAGCGGCCGCCGCGGCGACTGAAGCTGAGCGCGCCCCACCTCCGGAGGGAGCGGCCGGACTGGGCCCGGCCAGGGCCTCCCCTCGCTCGCCATCGCCGGACAAAGCGCAGTCGAGCCCGGCTGGAAGGCAGAGCTCCGAAGCAGGCAGGACGGAGCCGAGCAAAAGAATGCGGCTCTATTCTCGCAAGGGAAATTATAAAAAAGTTCATGTTCACGGTTCCCATCCACATGACCCACAGCGGCCAATGGAAGGGCCGAACAACTCATAAAGTTGTATTGCAAAGTTGTAAATTTTCATAAACAACAACGGATTTATGACC